CTCGTCTACCAACGAGAGGCTCCGCCTGGGGGCAGAGCGGCCTCGCGTCCCTGGAGGTCCACGGTGGTCGCGCGGGGGCGGGGGCCCAAGGACATCTCCTGTGCGTGGGGGGCGCCACTTTTCCAGCGGGAAGGTCGGGGTGCAGGAGGGTGTTGCCTCTGGAGGCTTTGGCTTTCCTCATTACCCCGAGAGCCAGGTTGCCATTGCAACTTGGAATCCTACAGGGGGTTGAATGGCTGGAACAGCCTGGGCTGTACTGGGGACCGAGGATCTGAAGGGAAAGAGCCCCACGGCTCCCTGCCCGGTGTTGGCGTGTGCCCACAGTGTCCTCCCGCGAAAGGCAAGAAGACACTGGCAACCCAGTTCCCCCAGCTTTCATCGGACCCTGAGGGCCCTGCCCAGGAAGCCAGGGGACGCAAGGCGTCCTCGCTCGCGCCTTTCATCCCTAGATCTCCAAGCAAAGGCGGGTTCATCACCCCAATGACGCTGCCCTTTGTGAGCTGCTTTCATGTCGGCCGCCGGGAGCGCAGGCTCAGCAATAAGCCCAGGGAGGCGACATGACAGGCGCCCGGCCCAGCCCGAGTTTATAAGGCAGCTCATGGGGTGAGGTCCTTGCTCCTCTGTGTCCCCCGAGCTCCCACCCCTCATAAACTCGGCTCGGCACGCTTGGCTGGCCCAGGGCAGTGTGGACGGGACTCAGAGGACGAGGCTACGGCTTAGTCACCCTGTGCAGGGCTTCCCTCACCCAAGCCAAGAGCTGGGGGGTTGAGTTAAATTAGGGCTTTTTGAGGTTAGACCAAGGGAGTGTGAAGTTCTCGTTTAAAGCTAAAGGAACTAAAACAGTTTCCTATTTTACGTGGAATTGTAAAGGGCGCTGGGAATTTTAAGGGGCGCTGGGGCTAGGGAGGTAGCTCGGGGGTAGAGCCCTTGCCTCGCAGGCAAGCGGCCCTGGGTCCTTCCCAGCGCTGCAAATCAGCAATCTACCAGGAAGACAGCGGTCGGGGCCCAGCCCTTTGTGCATGGCCTGGGCACGGACAGCGGGCGTGGGAGGGGCGAGGGCATCGGCCTTTCCGGTTTGCCCGATCCCGGTGGAGTGGGAGCCCAGCCCTTCCTGCAAGATCCAGACCTCGGTACCAGGTACAGACTGGACCTTATGTTTCAAACATGCCTGAGGCCGAACATCTGCCCTGAATTTAATCGCTCCTCACCCCTTGACATCAAACAGACACTGCTCGCTTCCCCTCCTCGATCCCGGGTCATCTCCTGCATCGCTGCCCACGGCCAGGGCGCTCCTCACCCTCACCCATCAGGTCCTGGGACCCTCGGTACCCAGCGCTGATCAGCTGTACTCACCGTGCTGCGCAGGCATCGCCGGGTTACCTCGGGGCTGCGCACCCCGGGGATGGCCACGTGGCGGCCGCTCCGCTCGTCCCAGCACGCGGTCCGAAGCCCTGGACGAGGCCGGAGGAGCAGCGCAGGGCCAGCACACTCCTGTGCACGGGCTGCAGCCCCGGCCCCACGGAAGAGGATAGGGAACATCTGGCGACTCAGGGATTGCGTGAACGAAGCGTTCCTATACGAGGGCAACCTTTGGGCCTCTGAGACCCCAAAACAGCGGCCCGCCTCCGGGAGCCTAGAACCTTCGGCGCTCGCGCCCAACCAGGCCCCTTCCCGGTTGGCATCTCCCCCGCCGGCCTCTGGGGG